GTACCCAGAGTATGCCAGAAAGTAAAGAAATGCTTTAAAAAGAAAGCCACACATGCATAATACAGACCCACCTTGATGGGAATATGTCTCAGAGCCTCTGGAGCCAACTCAAAGAGTTCCCAATGGCCCAAAGCAGAACAAATTATTTTGAGCAATAGAAGAATTAAAGTAACATGGGATTATAACTCAAAGGAGGCAATGACTATCAATGACTATCAATGGTAAAACTAAACAATTGAATAAATAAATAAATGGAGGACAAGAGACAAATCCCCCATGCAGAAGAGCCCTACAGTTAATGTAGACAGTTTATCCTCAAGGAGGTAGAGCATTCAGTAAAAACTGAAGGAATCTGAATAAAGCATGGATTTTGGTTAATATAATGCATCAGTATTGGTTCATGAATCGTGACAAGTATACCGTGCTAATGTCAAATGTTAATACTAGGGGGAAACTGGGAATCTTATGTACATAAGATGTACGGGAACACTGTACTACCTTTTCAAGTTTCTGTAAAACTATTCTAAAATTAAGTTTATTTTAAAAAAAGACCAAAGACCTAGCTTTATCAAACTTCTGATTATGAAAACAGATAATAATGTAGATTCAAGCAATGCAGAAAATATAGACAAAAGTAGCAATCACTTGAGCTCTCCGCTTTCCCTTAGCATATTAGTAATTCCTTCCAGACTGTGCCTCGTGTCCACAGATATGAATGGGAACAATTTTATATAATCAGTTCCTATGTGAATGGCTATTTTTACCATGTGCTCCCCCCCACCCCGCCTTTCCATGCCAAAACACAGCTATATCATTCTCTGAATTGTTTTATGATATTCTATTATGTTATAATTTACATAAGCAAGCTTGTGTACCATTTAAGCTTGGTTTTTTCCCTCCCTTTTCTCTTGTGAACACCACCACATTCACATGCAAACATTCTTGAACTCTTTCTTAATTATTTACATAAGATAAATTCCTGAACCTAGAATTGGTGGTTATAAGAGATACACATTTACTATTGTAGCAGAGAATGCCAGAAACCCTACAGCAGGGTCTATTTAGTCTATTTCTTTGCTACCATCAGCAGTAGATGACGGTGCCTGATTCTTTATCTCCTGCCCCAACATTGGGTGTTGTCATTCTTTTTAACATTTGTCAATCTGATCATTGAAGATAGTGGCTGATTTTGATCCTCTCTTGTTGGCCCATCTTTCAAGCTTCTGTTCCTATATTTCTGCCCCTAAAATTATTGTACCTACTCCATATTCTAACTTCTACCTAGACCTTGGGCCCAATGGGTAAGCCCCTACCACTAGAAACAGATCATGGAGGTCAGAATCCGTATATTTCAAAATTTCTTTTCCCTTTCCAGGGCCTAACGTAGTCTGAAAAGGTACAGGATAGCCAAAAAAATGCATGTTGAAATAAATGGTCCTTGGTCAACATCTGCATGAAAGAAAAGAGCCCGTGTAGTTGGGAATGGAGTGTTCAGCAGCTTTGGAATGCACAGCTGAGACCCTTCACTTGGGAAGTGCTCAGCACCCTTCCAGAAGAAGGGGCAGCCAGAGTGGCCATGTTTCTGGGGGGAACCCACCCCTTGTGACACAACTGATTGGAGCAGAGGGAAGAACAGATCCAAGCTGAGCCAATTCGACTCTCTCAGGCATTTACAGTAAGAGACACAGAAACCACTGCAGTTTTGTGGGCCACTGGACTTGTAAGACCCTGGAGAGCTGAAGCTGGTTTTGGTAACATGGTAACCCGAAGCAATGGGTTATTTCGAAGCAGGAGATATCAAAAGCCAGCAGGAAAAGCTAAGAGAAACAAAGATGAAGAAAGATAGGAGGGAAGAATTGGAAGAAGGGAGTGGGGGAAGCCCTGCCTTCCTCCATCAGGTCCCAGGAGCCCTGGCTTTCACAGCTGTGTTCCCAGAGGTTGCCTTATATCCTTAGATAAATTCTCCTTTTACTAACCCATCCTTGACCAAGACTATGAAATAATGGCTCAAGGCCAACTCTTTCTGCCTATTTTTCACTATTCCCAAGCAACCTTCTGATGACTAACCACATTCCCTTGACACCACAATATAGGGACACATACCCATAAGTGTGTATTTACCTATTACTAATGTGTGATTAGCAAGTAGTTATTGAGTAACAACTATGAGCCTGGCACTAGGCGGGGAGCCTTGTAGATACCAGAAAAACAGAAGACAGAATTCACCACCCCAAGGGGCTTAAGGCGGGAGATAAAACTAACATAGGAAAGAATCCCACACCCATGTATCAGTCCAGCAGGGTAGGAACTGTGCCAACACTATTGTTCTTTGAGGAGACTGCTGAGATCAGAGAGTGACATGTCCCAGACATAGGTGGGGGGAGTGCTGGAAAGCTGCTGTGTCCGGGACACCCTTAAAGAGAAGACGTTGGTTGTAGTTGTCACACATCCAGCCCCACACAGCCATGTCTCGGCAACTTGGCAACCTCCCGGGTGGCTGATGAGCCCTGAGGGCCAGAGTGCGTGTGTGTGCATGGTGGTGAGTGCGTGCCCGGGAAGCAGAGACTGCTGTCCTGTTGGGCTTGGCACAGGGGTATGGCTGCAGGGGGATGGAGTCAGGCTTACCAGGCCATGTAGGATGGAGGAGTCAGAAGAGCTGATCTCTTCCAGGCCCCAGACTTTCCAGGCGAGAAGCCTCTGTTTCATTTTCTGTAAAAAGGAGGACATTCTGCCCCGTACACCGGGTACGTTTTAAGTCTTCAACAAAGCAAATGTGTGGACATGACATTGCAATTTTCATTTATTTTTCATTTTTTAACGATTTATTTTTATTTTTTTAAGTAAGCCCTACATCCAACATGGGGCTTGAACTTACAATCCCGAGTTCACGGGTCACACGCTCCACCGACAGAGCCAGCCAGGCGCCCCCTACATTGCAATTTTTAAAATGCTATTTGAGAGAGAACTGTGGTTATCCTGGTGATTAAGATGCCAGATTTCATTTTTATTTGATATTGAGCCTTTCTTTTAAGGGTAACAGCTGGTTGACCCACTGTAATTATAGCCTGCTGCGTATTCTGGAACCGCTCCTGACTTGCTAGAGGGGTTTAGGAGCTCAATCAGGGTTGATGTGAATGAACACATCACACAGCAAGTAGTTCGCGGCTACCTGCAATATCTGTCTCCCTCCTCCTTCAGAGGTGAGTGCTACAATGATTCTACTGCAGTAGAGAAGGCCATATGACTTTTCCAAGGTCACACAACTAGGAGTGGTAGAGCCAAGATTCATTCCAGGCAGCCTTACCCCAGAGCCCGTGATCTTGCCTTACTCACTCTGCTGCCTTTGGAAACCTGTCAGCTGAGGGGCTTCTCTCCCCTTCTCCCTTCTGCTCTAAGCATCCAATAGGAGACATTCCTTTTCACTCTGAATGAACCAGTTTCTCCCTTGCCTCTGGGTCTTGGCACACGCTGTTCCTTTTTCTAAGATAACTTCTTTCCCATCCTTCTTTACTTGAACACCTTATTGTTAGAGTCTCAGCTTAGAACACAGGGCCCTTGGGCAAGCACTTCCTGAATCCTCCGAGTCTGAGTCAGTGTCCCCACTCTACACTCTTGCTGCACTTCCTCTGTGGTGAGATGGGCCACTCTATCGGAATTGCCTTCTGACTTCTCTGTCTGCCCGTGAGCACCCTGTTAGCAGGGAGCTCTGTGTGCTAGGTGGTAATCTTGCTCACTGCCCTATCCTGAGGGTCAGCACTGCGTCTGGCACATAGGGCCTCTGTACATCCTTGGTGGAGAACGAATTTATGAACGGCTGCTCAGTACCACATGGGTGTGTGGATGTGCTTTTCCGAGTGCCTGCGGTAGGAAAGGGCTGTGCCCAGCATTCTGCATGAGACTCAGAAGACAGTGGCCAGGAGAAAAGAATGAAGGCGACTCTCCTTCAGCCAATCCCTTGCAGTGCACTGTACGTGACCGTCCCAGGGGGCTGAGTGAACAGGAGACCGGCTGGGACCACCTGGCAACTGACAGCACCCAGTGATGCCCCCCGCTGGAGAGGGCTCCCTGCCTCTGAAGAGTGGGAAGGGAAGCGCATTCCAAAGACAATTTGACAAAGAGGGAGAAGGGGCTCTCAGCTTCCCTTGCATTGTGTGTGTGTGTTTTCCAGTATAGCTCTGTGTTTAAAAAGCTTGTCTAGTTGAAAAAGTGGGGAAAAGGCATGGCCTGGTTCAGTCCCAGGCCACATCAAACAAAGCCAGACCTTCAGCACAAGGGAGATATTTGCCTTTCCTGGCAGGGACAGCAGCGTGGGGATTAGAAAGGATTTTGGTCAAGGCAGAGTCCTAACGAACATCCTGTTCTAGGAGTCCTGAGGCCCTGGAGAGATTAGAGGAGAAGCTACAAAAGCCTTGTCCAAGGTCACAGCACTGTTCCCTCTGGTTGAATGTCAGCAGGTTCCTACGTGGATGTACTTACTGGCCAGGACAGGTTATTGGAAGGGCAAAGTCTCACTGCAGGCATGCTGACCCCTAGCCCGAGCTCCTACCACCCCCGCGACCAGAATTCTCCAACTCTGAGGTATCTTCAGAAAATCATGTTTCCCCTTGGGCCGGAGAGGTGCTCTATCTGACCCATACGTCACAGGCTCTTCAGACCCAAGGTCGGAGGGCTTGGACAAGCCCTGCTCCTCAGCAACGGAGCATCATGGGACCTTGACATAAAAGCCACCCCTCATGATGTTTGGAGTTTACTGAGCAGAACCTGAGATCCACTTGCAAAATTATTTTAAGAACCTAATTGGACGGGCCTCATACTCCATTTTCAGAAATTGTTTTTCATAAATGATTAAGTGATGATACAAAGTGAAAATGTGGCCAGTTGGCTGTTGACCCCATGTTGCCAACCACCTTTTCAGCTCTAAGGTCACCAATGTCCCCATTAATGTCTAGAACATGGATCTCCTAAGTTTTCTCTTAGAAGACTTGAGGAAATAGCCTGGCTTTTTAAAAAGTATTTTTTATTGAGGTATAATTTATATACAATGAAATGCTTAAATCTAACAATGGAGTTTGATGAGTTTTAACAACTAGATATATACACAATAGAACTACCACATCAATGAAGATATAAAACATTCTATCACCTAGAAAGTTCCTTATTGCCCCGTTCCAATCCATTCCACCTGTTCTGACTTCTATCATCATTGGTTGGTTTGCTCTTTTCCAGAGTGTCTGGGAGGACTCAGTGTTTGTGTCCTTCAAAATTCATGTTAAAACTTTAACCCCTGATGTCAGAGTATTAGGAGGTGGGGACTTCAGGAAGTGAAACCCTCATGAGTGGGATTAGTGCTCTTATAAAATGAATCCTAGAGAGATGCACACCCCTGTGTCCTGTGTGTATGTGCCTTTCCGAGAGCCTGGGCTATGAAGGTGCAAGAAGATGGCCGTCTCTGAATCAGGATACAGGCTCTCACCAGACATGGAATCTGCTGGCGCTTAAATCTTGGGCTTCCCAGCCTCCAGTACTGTGAGAAATAAATTTCTGTTGTTGTAAGTCACCCAGTCTATAGTATTCTGCTAGAGCAGCCTGGACTGACTAAAACAGTGTTATAATACTGGAATTATGCAGTATAGTCTTCCGTGTCTGGTTTCCTTCACACGGCATAATATCTGTGAGATTCATCTGTGTTGTCACATATTTTGGTTGTCCTTCCTTTTTATTGCAGAAGAGTTTTCCGTTGTATGTATATTCCACAGTCTGTTTATCCACTCAGCTGTTGATAGACATTTGAGTTCTCCCCGTTTTTGTCTATTAAGAATAAAGCTGCTGGGGCACCTGGGTGGCTCAGTCGATTAAGCCTCTGACACTTGGTTTCAGCTCAGGTCATGATCTCAGAGTCATGGGATTGAGCCTGGCGTCGGGCAGTCTGCTTGAGATTCTCTCTCCCACTCCCTCTGCCCCTCCCCACCTCAAATCAATCAATCAATCAATCAATCAATCAATCTTTGTTTTTTTAAAGAATAAAGCTGCTATGAACACTGATGTACAAATCTTTGTGGAGGGGTGGGTAGAAGTTTCATTTGCTGGAGTAAGAATGCCCAGGAGTAGAATTCCTGGGTTATAAGATAAGTGAATGTTTAACTTCATAAGGCACTTGTGGCTTGTTTTCTGTCACCTTCTTGAAAGGAGGGATGTTTAGAAATCAGCCTGCAAAGACCACAATGAAACAATCTCCATGGGGAGAAAAGGTGGTGACAGAGAGACAACAGCTCTTAGTGAAGAAAGCCGTTTTAACCAGCTCCTCATCCAACCAGCTTCTGCATAGTTTTCATAATTGGTGCTAACTCTGGGCTGTACCCAAGAAAATGCTTATTCACATTACTAATGGAAGCAGACTAAGCAGACTGGCAATATTGGAGTGCCCAGAAGGTTCTTTACACCAAAATGTTGACCAAACCTTTCAGGATTTTGCTTTAAGCTCAATCAATTGCAATTTTGCAGGGACATTTATTGAGAATGTCAACTATGGAAAGGTCACCCTTTGAAAAGCTAATCTGAGTTCTGAATTTTCACTGTTGGAGCCTCTGTCTTACCCCAGGAAAGATAAACAGACTTTTCTGTGAATTGAGGGCCTGGCTATGTGGGTCTTTGCTCTCTGCCAGATGTATCATCAGGCCCTATTGTGCAGGAAAGCAGCATGAGAAAGTTGTCTTTGGGAGACTGAACAGGAGAAAGGGGTCTGAAGTCAGCTGGACCCCTGGGAACGGGAGCAAAGGGGTCTGACCGCAGCCTGTTGCACATGAAGGAGACCTGAGCCTCTTGGAAGGCCTGATTCTCTTGGCAGAACCTCAAAGGAAGTGGCTACAGGGTAGCTGGTGAGCCAGGAACTAGGAACTGTGGTCTAGAAAGCTTATGTGAGAGGCTGAGCTAGCACAGTCCCCCACCTGAAAGTGGGGCCCTCAGGAGCAGGAAGCTAGAGCAGAAGTTGGTCGTTGTAAGAAAAGCAGCATCAGGGCGCCTGGGTGGCTCAGTCATTAAGCGTCTGCCTTCGGCTCAGGTTGTGATCCCAGGGTCCTGGGATCGAGCCCTGCATTGGGCTCCCTGCTCGGTGGGAAGCCTTCTTCTCCCTCTCCCTCTCCCACTCCCCTTGCTTGTGTTCCCTCTCTCCCTGTGTCTCTCTCTGTCAAATAAATAAAATCTTTAAAAAAAAGAAAGAAAGAAAGAAAGAAAGAAAAGCATGGGCTCCTGGGAAGCCCTGGGGGACCAAAACCCACCCATCCTGCATGTCTAGGCATTTCTTGTCCTCAGTCATAGGACGTGCCATTGTTCACCAGGCTTCAGATCCTTCCGGCAGTAGAATTTTACAGTCACACCCTTTGCCATGTGACTTTGCAGCCCTTCCCATTAGCACGAGCATCCTACCTCTTGCCACTGAGGTCAACATAACCATGTGACTGGCTTTGTGGTCAGTGGAGTGTGGGCAGGAATGACCCAAGAGGCCCCAAGGGGCATCATGTGTCTCTGCTCAGCTTCCTCAGCTCCTGCTATTTGACATGAAAAGAACACACCCTCGTAGTGCTGGTCCAAGGAAAGTATGGAGCCAGGTAGATGTGAATTTTATAGTATGTGAACTATATCTCAATAAACTGTTAAAAAAAAGGAACCACCTGTTAACTGTTTTTACCACCGTGAGGCAAGTACTAGTGTTCTCCCCTTCATCACCACACAGGAAGCGAAGGCTCAGAGAGCTTAGGTGGCCCTCCCAGTTCATTCACCTCATCAGTGTTTGACACAAGACTGGGACTTAGGTCCTGACACCAGCACCCATGGGGTCCACACCATCTTTCCAGTGTGTTTGCACCCCTCCACACACACACCTTAAGGCCACGGGGAAACTGGACTCGAGGACTATTTAGACAACCTTCAGTTATGGGTCATGGCTGTTTTCAGCTCTTCTTTCTAGCCCCTTCTCTCCTGGCGCCCTCCTCCCTCCACTCACCCTCCCTCATCTGCTGATGAGGCTGGCTGTTCAGGGTCCCTCCCTGCTCTGTTTTATCAGCTTTCTTGCCAAGAACATAAAAAGATATTTGACTCATGCAAACCAACATTTAACACAATTGCAAGTGGTTTTTCTCACGTTGCCAGGTGCCCTGACTCCCAAAAGCTCCTGCCCCCTCCTCCCAACTTAGGGTGATTGGAGACATGGAGCATCTTCCTTTAGGGCTCTGTCATCAGGGGGGTGCTTTCAATGGACAGAAACACATTTCTATGGGATGTCTCCCTTGAACCGGCGATTTTGATGAGTGCTTAAATGCCCTCTTCTTTAAGCTTCCCAGCAACCCATAGAATATGTGTGTGGATGGGCACATTTCATAGAGAAGGAGACCGAAGCTCAGAGAGGTAAGGGAACCTATCCAAGTTCTGGCAGATAGTGAGCGACCACACCAGGGTTCCGTCCCAGGTCTCCTAATTCCAAGCCCAATATTCTTTTTCTTATTTACGTACATGTGTTTTTTCCTCAGGATCCCCCATGGAGTCTACCACATGCCTGGTGCAAAGGAGGAGTTCAAGAAGGGAATGAAAAAGAAATCAACAAAAGCCAACCGATGTCGGTTTGCTCAAAGGCCTTTTTTCCTTAAGAAAAATGTATGAGGCAGTTCTCAACCCCAGCACGTCTGTGTGTGACAGAAAGACTCCTCCTGGGGTTTTCATCTGCTAAAGGAGAAGAGCACCAACTGCCCTGAGTTGGCGTAGTTTGATCATAAAGTGGGCAGAAGGAGGATGGAGTGGGGGGTGGGGGGAGGAGTAGAAAAGCTGGAGAGGTGTTGCTTCATCTTCTTAGAGGCAATCAGAGCCATCTGGACACCTGCCGAAGAGATGGAGGGCAAGCGTCCTGAGAGAGGAGTCCCTTGGGAGTGAGGGAAGTGGATTGAATGATAAGGAAACACAATCTACAGAAGGAAAGGGAACACTGGAAAGGCCGGCAAGATGTAGAAACTTTCTTGCGAAACTAACATCATATAATGTCATTTACAATACTTCTCCCCCCTTTCAAAATGAATTGCAGGTAGCTGGGCCCTGGGCCCTCTGCCGCACCATTGTCACTGCTGGCCCTGGGGCCACGGAAGCCACAGGCCACTGGGTGCCCTAGCGGTCAGCCCCACCAGAAGGGATTCTGATTACATTGTTCAGTCTGGATTTAAAAGTCTCAGGGGAGGATCTGATTGGCTGTCTTTAGTTCATATGTCCATGCTTCTGCTGCCAGAGGTCAAGGGGAGTTTTCCACCATCCCAGCATCCAGAGGGGGACCCTCTTGCAAGAGCAGATGCCCCACAATCAGGAAGCAGCTGCACATGCTGCACAATTATGACAAAAACATGTCTCCTCTAATTGAGACAATGATACCTACTTCTCAGAGTTGCTGGGAGTATTGAGTAAGATCATTTGATTATTCTACCATCATATATCGAGTTATCGATAGTATTCCCAGCACTGTGCTAGGTGTTGGGTAGTGTCTCTAAGTTCTGCCATATACTAAGAATTCGATAAGTGATAACCATGTTAAGAAGCTATGACATGGAGCGGAGGGGGAGAGAATGATGCTTAGGAGGGTTCTCAGCTAAACACTTGATTGAGATCTGACCTCTGCGCTTCCTGGAAGCCAAGAGAAATAGTGTAATGACAATAACCATAAATAGCTGATTTCTTGGATACTTTCTATGTACCAGGCACTGTGCTAAACATCACACATGTATTATCTCACACTTAATCTTCATGACAACTCTATAAGGTAGATATTATTATTATTACTCTGATTTTACAGATTATGAGAAAAGGTTCAGCATGGTTAAGTAACTAGGTCAATATCAATCAATGAGTTAATGGTGGCACCAGAATTTGACCCATATCCTTTTGACCCCAGAGCCCAAACTACGAATCACTGCTCTATAATCCTCTCTAGCACCAAATGTCTGGGACAGATTACTGAGGGGCTGCCAGCTTCCATCGCCATGGACGAAGGCTTTGCAAGGCTCCCGAGGTCAACCTGTTAAAGCTCCCATCTTTTTTCACATTTTTGTTCACCGGGCTGGTTTGCATTTTATGCAACTGATTTAAAATTTCCCTTTCTTTTTCCTCACCTGGGAATAGTGGCAGAAGTAAATGAGAAGTAAGTGAGAAGGTGCTGAGGATGGATGGGGAGGGAGCAAAACCATTTACCCAGTCATGGTAGATTTGCCATGGCAGAGAGCCTGGCAGGAGATGGGCCTTTAATCATTAGTTTCCCATTAAATCTTGGAACCAGACCCTCCCTGGCATAATGCTGAGGAAGACAAGGGTGATTTTATGTTCAAAAATGTTGAGACTGGAAGGGATCTTAGAACCTTCTAGTCCAGATGTTTTCCAACAGTTTTAAAGCAATGGAATCATACTTTAAAGGAAATCTTCACAAAAGCCCAGATTCTAAGAATAGATCAAACAAGAGCTATTCTGGCCAAAGGGAAGCTGGGGACCCAGAGCAGTTTGAGAATCACCGAGTCCAACCCCTGTGTTATGGGAGAGGAAACCTACCTGAAAGTGAGAGTGACTTGTCCAAGGTCACACAGCCATTTAGTGGCTTGGCCAGCCCCTGGCTCCAGCCCCCAGCCCGAATGCGGCACTTGTCTGTGAGAGCATGGTGCCCTAGCTCCTTCCAGCTCAGCACCTCCCCGTCTTGGGACTCCTCCCTCAGCCTCATGCACGTCAAACAGAAGGAGCTGTTTCCCTCAAAATGCTAGAAACCATTGGGGCCCGAGTAGTACCTCTCTGAGGCCCTGTTGCAGAGGGACACAGAACAGGGAGAGGGGGTCCCTCCCGCACTGCCAGAGGCAGCTGTGCACCGTTGGCATGAGGACAGCTCTGCTTTTTAATAGGATGCCGTAGGATCATTGGTGATGTCCCTGGGGAGGGGGGTGGTTCTGAGGATGTGTATCCAGCGGAAACAGCAGTGATGTCTGTGTGGTCAGGGTCTCAACAGGAAGCAAATGGCCTCTCAACAGGGCCATCTGATGAGAGTTGAGAAGGACCATTTACAACGCTGTGGGCAGTGTAGAGGGAAACCCACAACGGGTGGTGAAGCTTTTACCTCCAGCCCACCAGGGGACTCGTGAGGGAGTGGTTAGCATATGGGCCACCCGATAAGAGCTGTAGCCTTTCTTTTTTTTTTTTAAGAATTTATTTGAGAGACAGAGAGCGTGTGCACACAAGCAAGGGGAGGGACAGAGGGAGAAGCAGACTCACCACTGAGCAGGGAGCCCCACATGGGGCTTGATCGCAGGACCCTGAGATCATGACCTGAGCCAAAGGCAGCAAAAGCAGCAGCTTAACCCACTGAGCCACCCAGGCGCCCCAACTGCGCCAGCTGTAGACTTTCTTAGGAGAATCAGCCAACTCCCTGCAGGGAGGGAGCAGGGAATAAATACCCTGACCTCACGCTCCTCCAACCCCTGCCTCCAGTGCCTACCATGCGCTGAACCTGACCCGAAGCCAGGACAAAACAGCCTGGATGATACAACTCATCCAAACAGGCAAGCAGAATATATCCAAAATGGTGTCACCCCGGGGAAGCAGCAGTGTCCAGCAGACCTCAGAAAGAGCAGACCAGACTTGTTCATGAGCAAACCTGAGCCACCCAGGCACCCCCAGAAATTCCCATGGGCACGGGCCCTTTGCAGGGCTGGATGTAGGGAAGAAGCTGAGAAGTAAGGTCATGAACACAACCTCATTTGTACCTATCAGGCCTGGGGAAACTCGCATAGTCCATTACGTCTGAGGTTGGCTGTGGAGGAGAAGGCCCTGAATGCAAGGGCAGGTGAAGTCCGGAAAGCGTCACTTGGCCCTCTGTGACCTCTTCGTCCCCAGCACCCGGCTGTGTGGGCAGGACTGCAATGCAGTTCTGAAGCTAACTGCCCTGAGTTAGTGCATGCTACACGGGTGAAGGACGGTCTCCAGCGACACTGCCCTGGCTTCACATGCCAGACACAAGTTCAGGGGTCCCCAGGCCACCCATGCTTTGACCAACCGGCTATAGATTTGGGGGTTCCCACTCCCCCCGTGAGCATGTTTACTGGCATAATGCACAGAACTCAGAAAGGTGCTAGACTTACAACTTTGGTTTTATTGTAAGGGTTATAGATCAGGACCAGCCAAATGAAGAGGCCCATAGGGAAAAGTCTGGGAGGGTCTCGAAGTCAGGGTGACGAGTTGGCTGTGACAGGTCAGGTGGGTGGACAGCTCTCTCCAGATGCATCAACATCAGTTAGCCCATGAATGTACATGCAGTGATGTTTCTCAGGAAAGGATTTTATGAGGAGACAGCGGCACTAACATTTTGGAAGTAGGAAAGCAAACAGATGAGGAATAACGGACCAGGCAGACTTTTGAGCCCGATTCCAAGCCTGACTTGGAGAAAGCTAGGATGAACATTTCATACCACAGGCTCCTCAAAAGGAGAAAGTGGGAGCCCCAGGAGCTTAGGACCAGAGGTCAGGGCGTCAGACAGTCTGACTCAGACGCGTGGGGTTAAGTGCAGAGAGCTGGGAGAAGTGTGGTTTGAGGGGTAAACTTAAATATGTGAATATGTAAATATATGCTTATATATGTAAATTACTTTGAACACACTGCAAGCAGTGTTTGCCCTTGGGAAGCAGTCTCTATGTCCCTTGAGGCAGGCTCCGACTCCTTCCGGCTGGGTGCCTGCTCCTGTCTTGCCCCAGCAGAAGTCTGCGGTTTTCCTCCCCTGAGAGGGTAAGAGTGGGTCTCGGGATGGGGGCCTCTAAGTGCGGGGTACAGCATGGAAAACAGAAGGATCAAGGACTGATGTCATTGATTTTTAAACTTAAGGACTCCCGGCCCTTCTTGCCACTTGGGGCTTAAACACACACGCAGCCTGACCCCACTCTCCAGGCAAGAGCCTGGAAGATTTCTCTCTGGGGAGTCTGAGCAGCCCAAGAGGAAAAATCTAAAGACACGGCCAGCAGCTTGGGTCCCGTGGTAAACAGCTGGCCCAGATCCCCTACCATATGAGCGTGCTCCATCCATGCTCCCTTGGTTGAGGAAGTGCCACTCAGATGGGCTGGGGAGCTGGGGCAGGGGGCACTGTGAGGGGTAAATTAAAGAACTTTGGGTGGAAGGAATGGTATAACAAATGTACAGAGACAGGCTATGGAGAGGTTTTTAAGAGAGGCGTGAGGAGGGCACTGGGCCAGGGAGCAGGGCAGGCAGGAGTAAGGGAAAAGTAGATGAGGTCCAAAAGGCTGGCTGGGCCTAGCAGGTGCCTGAGAGAGCACGGAGGCCAGCAGGGACAATGGGCCAATATCTGGGGTCAAACGCCTCTTTCTGGGGCTCTATACCCTGAACAGGCTGTGCCAACCCGGGGAAACGGTGTGGCCAGCCCAGGTCTGTACCAGCAGCTTCCCTGGGGACTAGGGGGAGGACAGCCTCCAAGGCCAGTCTTAGAGGATGGCAGTTAATTTGGTAGATAGTGAGGAACCTGAGGAGAGTTGGGAAACAGGAGGGTGACATCTAGAATTGAGTTAGACTGATGGAAGAATGAATTTATGAGCCAGACTCTGGGAGAGGCAATGGGGGGCTTTGCCAAAGTCAATGGGGAAAGTCTCAGATGTAGCTGGGTCCGTATTCATGGGAGGAGGAGGAGATGGGGGCCTAGAGAACAGAAATTGCTGGAGAAGGAGTGGAGGCCTTTGGATGGGAGACAAGAATGTGGACGGAATGCAGGAGGAAGTGTTGAGCAAGAGAGAAAGCAGCCACCGACCTATCCAAATGCAGACAAATACCTGCACCAGGACAGGGGCCTTCAAACGTTAGGAAATTTTTGGTAGTCTTCTCTCCCTTCACCAGCGTAACACAGGAATTCAGGGAAAGAATTCTTTCCCTTTCCCAATGCTGTGGTGTGTTCGGCTGAGAACAGTCTCATGGACGCATCAGCTGGGTACCAAGCAAGTGTGACCAATGAAGGACCTTTGTGAAGTTGGGTTCACCAGCAAATGTTTGTCCTTGGACATTCTTCTCCCCTCAGCCTTCTGCACAAAGACTTCCCTGACGTAGATACCAATGTCCATCCTTTCATGAGGAGAGATGATGATGCCAGCAGAGTATCCAGTGAAGGAAGCAGGACCTCCTGCTGGGAGGATGCTCTTTGCCAGCATGCCTGTGAACCTCGAATTTATTCCCTACTCTTTCCTCTGAATGCAGGCATGGAACATCTTGGTTATAAGTGCAAATAACTGTCTGGAAGGAGAAACTAAAAGTTCATTATTAACCATTCACACTTTGGTTCACTTAGCAGGGCCCCGAGGAAGGAAGAGTTTCCAGGACAAATAATAATAAATGCTAATCACATTTGGAGTAAATGAAAGATTTTCACACTCATTATCTTGATCCTCAAAGTAACACTGAGGGCCTTACAGGATTATTATCTCCCTCTTACAGCTGAGGGAATCAAGACCCAGAGAGGTTAAGGGACTTGCCCAAGAATACACAGTAGTTGTTGTTGGCAGAAGTGAGACTCACACCCAGGGCGCCCGATGTCCAGTTTGGGGTCCTTTCCTCAGCGTGCATGGTGGGGAGGGGGCTGTGACGGCCCAGGTGTGGGGCAGTATCCCAGGGTAAGGTGCAGTGGGGAGGGTATCCAGAGGACCTGAGAGAGAACAAGAGCTAGGGAGCTCCTCTGGGTACACTGCCACTAGCTGGGTTGGAAGCCATGGTCAGGATCCCCTAAATTCTATCCATTGTCAAGGCCTCTTCCCTCAGCTCTGGGTGAGACAGAATAAAGAGAAGAGAATAGTGAGCAGTAAGCCCCAGGCCACCCATTAATCCCAAACCCAGTGCTCCATCCTAATTCTTTGCTCCCCTGGGGGGAGCCTGCCCTGGAGAGCCAACCTCCAGCTTTCCCAAGAGGTAAGATCACCATGTAAGGTCTTGGCCCCTTTGGAGAACCCTGTCCTGACAGCATGCAACCACCCTAGCTCACAGTTCAAGGTCCCTGAAGTGCTCAGAGCTGGGAATTGACTTACCTGTGGGTGAGCCCATCATCAGTGGTAAACATGGAGGCCCTTGTTGGTATAGTTGCTGGATGCTCTCTACAACAGACTTGCCTCCCAAGCTCAGGCCCCGGACAGATGCTCACAAGAACTATGTCTGCAAGAAAAAGGACAGGGTCATAACTCTGCATTCAAATGCCTAGATCCCAGATAAGCTGCCTCCTGAGGCCAAAGCTACCTTTCCTCAAGGAAGATCCATGCACATCCCTTCCCCCATGGGAGATCCATGCACAGAGGAAAAACCCAAGAGAAGGGACAATTTATAATTCACAGGAGCTTTAACTTGACCTCAGACACTGGTGATCAAGAAGCCCTCCTTTATGTCCAAAGTCCAAGTGCTCTTTGGAGCTGGGCGCCTTCCGGCATTCAAAGAGCACTCTGAGCCCCGCCCCCCTCTGTTCCCTCTCATGCACACGGTGCCTGCACACTCACTCCACAATGTGTGGTCCGATGCTGCTCATCTGAGGACCTCAGCTGGAGGACCCATAACCCATAATGAAACTAGATGACCATTTCCTCACCCTTTTCCAGCAGGGGAAGAATAAGAAACTGGGGGAGGCACCCCTGATTCCACCCTCAACTCAGACCACACCCTCAACGTACCATTTTAAAATAAGTAATCACTACAAATTAGTAGGGTAGGAATTCATCTGTGACCTCTTAGAACATCTTTCATGCTTTAATGTTCTTAATGGCTTAATGAATGCAATTTAATTCAACATAGCACTGCGAAGGGTTTGGGCCAGGTTCGGGGCTGGGTTCTGGTCATTCCAAGGGGTTCAGCATGATCGTTCAGAGAAGGGACTGCGGTGTCGTCAAGGAAAAACACACACACAACTCGTTACCACTTGGGCCAGTGCTAAGGTAGAGCTATGGGAGAATAGGGGAGGCAATGATTATTTCTGGACAGAGGGAAAAGTTTACACAGCAGGCTCATAGAGGAAGAGATGTTTGGGTCAGGCCTTTGGGCCTTTTCTGGGAAGGATTCATGATCAAAGGAGAGAAGCGAAATGCAGGTATGTCTGAACAAAGGTATGGGCGCTGGGAGGGCTGATGCATGCCGTATGTCAGTATTAGGTTAGGGGAGGGAAAAAATAAGGGAGCTGAGATCCAGTTTGGTCTGGGGCACAGTTAAAAAAAAGAAAATTAGGGAGCGCCTGGGTGGCTCAGTCAGTTAAGCCGCTGCCTTCGGCTCAGGTCATGATCCTGGGGTCCTGGGATCGAGCCCCGCATCGGGCTCCCTGCTCAGCGGGAAGCCTGCTTCTCCCTCTCCCTCTGCCTGCCTCTCTGCCTACTTGTTCTCTCTCTCTCTCTGTCAAATAAATGAATAAAATCTTAAAAAAAAGAAAATTAGGACGGGGAAGAGAGGGTAAGAGAGAGAGGATTAGAAAGAGGACTTGCAATATTGAACACCTGAACACTGTGAGCAGAACTGACCAGTTTCTCCCCTGAGGAGCAGCATCCACTGTGAAAAACCCATTGAACCAAGGAGATCATTCCCAGCTCCGGCACTCATGGCGCCAGCGGCGGGGGGGAGCTTGGATTCATGAGCTCCCTCCTGGGTCTCAGCTAGCGCCTGTACAGAACAAGGAATGCATGCCCACCATTGATGGTACTTGATACCACGTCCCTCCTAGCAGGAAACAGATGGCCTCATGAAAGGGGAAGTTGAAGAAGGCTGAGTAAGGGATTGTTTATAAAGGGATGGGCACAAAAGGGAGCCAAGAAATGGTAAAATGCCAGGGAACTGCAACATCTGGAGAGGCAAGGAGATAACACTATTCACTGTAGAGACGGCTGCCCGGCCAGACCTGTAGACTCTGATAGAGAATGGAGCCAACCACCAGCTGGGGTAGGGAGACATGCCCTGATTTCTAGGCCCCGTTCAGTGCCTCTCAGCTGAACACAAGCAAAGGCAGAGGGCAAGGGAGCCGATGGAGGCAATGTGTGGAGGTCAGCTTCCAGACAGAACAGGGGAAGCAATGGACCAGAAGGAGGCAACAGAGAATATCTCACACAGGTAGCAGACTGAAACGTATCTGAATAGTTATATGTTTGTTTTAATGTATAATAAAAGCAATGTAGCCACCCATCAAAGCTATGAGTTCATAGCTGTTATTTCTTAGGATAAGGCAAGAGTGGATCTTTATTTTATTTTAATTAATTTATTTGAGAGAAAGAGAGCGTGCACAAGCAGGGGGAGAGGCAGAGGGAGAGGGACAAGCAGACTCCCCACTGAGCGGGGAACCCTGAGATCATGACCTGAGTGGAAGTCAGATGCTTAACCGACTGAGTCATCCAGGCGCCCCAAGAGTGGATCTTTGAACGTTAAAAGTTAGACAGTTGAAAGAAAAATATGAAGTGATAGTCCACGTGGTACAAGCATACAGCAAAAATCACAAAGACCGCCTTCGTAGAACTGAAGTTTGGGAAATTCTGGGCTGGGTGATAGAGAGGATTGCTTCCATTTCTGACTCTTTTTGAGTTTTTAAGTGTCTACGTGTAGCTATACCGAGTACAAGGAAAATGCTGGGAACTGTCACAGGGTATTTTCAGATCATTTTAGTTCAGTAAAATGTTATAATCATGAGTAATTATGGTGAGATGAACCCAGGACTCCCCATCATTCCACTACTCTCTTAAGATTGCTCTTTGCCTTCTTGAAGGTTTAAAAACCAACCCTAAGCCACCAACAGACACGAGCAAGAACATTCACAGCAGCACTCTTTGTTATAGTCTCTGACTTGAAACAACCCAAATGTCCATCAAGGGGATTTTATAAATTGGGGTATTTCCATACTATGCAATAATGGAAATGAACAAAGTAAAGCTTCATGCAGCAACATAGATGCAACTCCCAAACTCGATGTGAGCGAAAGGAACCAGACACAGAGTCCACACTGCAGGATTTCTTTTACGTAAAATTCGAAAGCAGGCTGAAAAAATCTAAGGGCTGGCAGTCACAAGAGTGACTGCCATCACAGGAGGAAGGTGAGGGTGGTGACCAGAAGGAGCCACAGGGCAGGCTTTGGGAAGGTAGGCAATGTTCTGTTTTTTGACCAGTTTTTGACATGGTCTGTTCATTTAGAGATAATTCATTGAGATTTGCATTGATGATTTTGGAATTTTTGGTAGGTCTCTTACCCTTCATTAAAAAAATCATTATTTTAAGTGTATATAAAGTGGAAAAGCTATGATTTTTCCTTGTTGACTCTAGGAAAATGATCACAAAGGATGAGTGCCCCTCTGGGATAAGCAGAGGTGGTGACATGTTTCTGGTGATCCAAGGCTTGGTCACTTCTCCCATTTCTACCAACTCCCCTCTCCCACCTCCCTCAACTTCCATTGCTGGTAGAGCTCCTGCCATCTACAAACATTTCACAGGTGTCCACGGGATTGGCACAATAGTGCCAATTGTTTTCTAAATCTGCTTGTGTCTGGTTGACCAGATGACTGACATTAGCCACTGTTGGAGTTTCCCTTCTTCTCCCAGGTGATGGTAGAAGAGCTCTAGACTTTATATGGTACCAGGAAAGTAGGTTAGGGTCCTCCTCTGTTTTTTGGTTACCACTTACCTCTATGTCTGGTACTGGACATCTGCTGTTTCCAGGGCCCATGGAGAGGCCCTCATCACACACAGGCCAGCCATGGTCTCCACCACAAGACCTCCAGCTTCCTGCCCAGTTGTGGCCTTTAGTGGTCAGCACTTGGCCATCTTCAGGCATTCCTATAGAAGGTTCTTTACCTCCAAGGGCATTTTAGGGGAATTGGGCATAGGTCTCACCTTCTTTTTTTTTTTTTAGGATTTTACTTATTTATTTGACAGAGAGAGAATGAGAGAGAGAGCACATGAGAGTGGGGAGGGTCAGAGGGAGAAGCAGACTCCCTGCCGAGCAGGGAGCCCGATGCGGGACTTGATCCAGGGACTCCAGGATCATGACCTGAGCCGAAGGCAGTCACTTAACCAACTGAGCCACCCAGGTGCCCCTAGGTCTCACCTTCTTTAGGAGGCCATCCACTAGACGTTGGGCAAGGGAAACCCAAATCCCTAGGGTAGAGCAACCCTGAGGGGCTGAAGGGAGGAGACAATACCCCTAATTCTTTGAGGACCAGACTTAGAGGAGGGAGAAGAAGGGAGCTAATTTCTCACCGGGTTGTCTGCCCTACCCTCTGACAGCCAGGCAGTGTGCTCTATCCTGTGGTGTGTTCAAAGAAGATAAGATGCCCACCTGTAAGGACTTAACAGCCTTGTTGATAATATGAGAGCATCGTTGAGTAAAGAAATGAAACCAAACCTGACCAGTCAAGATAAGTTTTGAAGAGGCAGCAGAGCCGGGAATAGCCTTGCAAGCCGACCTTGCACACTCCACCAAATCAGTGTTTCCACATCATCACTTTTATTAGTCCAGATGTCACAAGCCCTCAGGCCCTCCACGTTGAAGTTTTGTTTCACCATACATGTTCATTCGTGATGCAATTTTCTCAAAAAATTGAATTTGTGACTCTATTTTAAACTGAGAAAACCCAAAATGACCAAAACCTCAGGTTATAGCCTCTCTGGAAAACCAAAGATCTGGCAACACAGGGTGCTTAACTGTCACATGGCAGCAGTTGGCAAGACCTGAGCAGTGACTGTCCCCTTAGATAGGGCTTTCCAGCTGCGGAGTCCCCTCCTATCATCCCCACTTCCTATTGTCTCATGCCCAGCCTCCCTCACTGGGTCCTGCTCCCAGGCATCTTATCTTTTAATAATAATAATAATAATAATAATAATAATAATAATAATAATAATAATAAAACTCAGTATCTTCCTCCTGCCAGGAGAATAAAGTCCAAACACCTTTGGCTGGTAAACCATTCAAATTCTGGTCCCAATCTAATCTCCCATTGCTCCCCTACACGTTTTTCTCCCAATCTTAGGGTGCTCATGAATGATTTCCATGGTGTCGTGCATTCAGCTGGTTGTTTTCTCAGAATCAAGTTTCACTTTTTAACTCTTTCACTTGTGCCTTTGATTCATATTCTACTTCTGACATCTCAGACCTTCCAAGATCATCTTTCTCTCTAACGTACATCCCTTGCAAGTTCCATTACTTA